GATGTCCTCTTCTTTTAGCTCAAATACAAGGGAAAAGAGGTCTACATAGATGTAGCAACACAGGCCTTGTGCTAAAACTTTAAAGATTGCTCCATTTTCCCTCTTACAGGCTATATCTATTTTCTTGAGATCTGCATAACCTGACCATTTATTCCTGGAATTATGGCATACCATACAACCTGCATGACTTAGGCCAAGCATCTAAAATGCCCCGGATGTCAGACCAAGCTTGTATCACCAATACCTTGCGTTATGAAAGGCCATGGTCGTAACCATCCAAGTGGATAACTAAAACATTCAGAGGGGACACACCCCCATTTAACAGCAATGGCTATAACCCATTACTCATCTAGAAGAGGTATTCCCTCATGTTCGAGAAAATTGGGAATAACCCATTGTATCTACAGAAAGGACACTCCCCCTTAGTGCAAGTTGCCACTGTCTGAACTAGACTCAGATTGTTTTGACTACATTCCATCAGGATAATTGATGTATTTTTCTTTTTGTGGTCCATTCTGGAAAATCTAATTGGCAGTGTCACCTGACCTTGGACTAATCAAATGTCACCAAATATTTATACTTTATTTGGATATCCTTAAATATGGAATGTGCATTCCTATTTGAGGTGTCACACATGTGAAAAGCTAAAAGCATTGTGTAATGCCCAGTGCTAGATTTGCCTACCAAATTATGTGAAGTATATGGTGACCTAATTAAACCCTTCTCCACATTGTAGTGGTGGCTGCAATGTTGGGGTATCTATCAAGCCGCCATCCAGGTTCTATCAAATTAATTAGATGAGCCAATTGCCCTGGGTTTCACAATGCAACTGGGTCATCTTGCTGGCCAGCCCAGGGCTGGCAAGCCTTAGTGCAGTTTTTTGTGACATGAGCCCCCTTTCAAATGAAGCAGACATGCTGGAATTTTCAGGGTTTCTTTGAACAACTTCCATGGGCTGCAAACTTCCAACTGATTAAATGAATGTCCAGAGTGAGCCACTAGACTCAGTTACCTCTTTTCCTTTGCACATGAGCTGAAAGTAGAGGGCATCACCTTTGAAATTGCTAGGACAACCTCATCTTCAGGTACCACATCTTCTATTGTAACAAGCGGTGCCTCCTGCTCTTCGGCTGGCAACACTGCCACCAGCAGGACTGCATAGACATCTGTCCCTTTCTGCCTATTGGCTTTGAGAGCAGACACCTGATTAGTAAGGTGTTGGATTCATAGGGCTTTGCTAACCTATCTGATGAGTCGGGACTCTAGAGCAGGCCCTGTACTCATGCATCCATTTGTGAGGTATGTGCAAGTGCTGCTAGGACCTCTAAGACCATTCCTAAGCCATCATCCTCATCCAAAAATAAATAGGCAGGTGGGGTGTGTGTGTGTGTGTTACCAGTAGCTTCTTGGCTGGGCCTTGCCCATAACCCACCAACATTATTCTTTAGCACCCTGCTGCCAGAAAAGTGGCAGAGCGTTATTATAACAATGTTATGTTGCCTGATAAGGCTTCTAGAAATGCAGATTACGTCTACTTTTCTGTTTGTGCAGGCTCATGTTTGCCCTATCTGGCTGGTGACCATTAGGATTGTTTACAGGCAAGAGACTTGGGTTTGGGGCAGAAACATCTGCTCTGTGATCAATGTGGACCTTGTAATTATTGTTATGTAACATTAAAGAACCAAGTCACCTGCCTCTGTTATTCAGTTGGCGATCTCCCATCTGAATACTAACAGAATTCATTCCTAATTGGCATCCAAGATCCAAAGTGATCAGTTGCCAGCATGGTATTCAGGACTTTGCCCTGATTTTTCTCTACTCAGTATTGTCTCTGACTGGGCAATCATAAAGAATTTTTTGTTGTTGTTCATGTTATTATCAATATTATTGACATCAGTAGTTTCAATAAGATTAATCCCAAGACATGCAGATGTCTTAAGTTGGCAACAGTAGAGCAATCGAAGCATGAGTCTACTGGCATTATGAATTATGCCTTGTTTGCTGTTTTTACAGGTTCACAGTTTTTGTCATGACTGATTGGTAACCTTAACCTTATTTAAGGAGGACTGCTTTCATCAAATAAACATCCACCGACTTCTAAGTGTGGAACTTGTAATTGTTTTTGCATAATATTTGAGTAATAGAGCCACCTTTCCATGGTATTCAGTCAGTGAATTCCCCTCCAAATACGAACTATGTCCAGCCTTGCTTCGCTTCCAAATTCAAACGTGAATTGCTTCCTTAAGGTCACCAGGACTTTGTCCTAATTATCCCTTGCCCTATACTGTCTTTTGACAATTGTAATGAACTTTGTTGCTGTAACTTTAAGTATTACTGTCAACAACATCATGTTTATTAATTAAACAGCAATAAGTATAGTGTGGGTGGCAAAAGATAAATAATATATAGTATATGCAACTATGCCTCAAGCAGTATGGCCAGTTGTACTCATAATAGTATGGGCCACAAAACGGACAATGCCTACTGTGGAAACATTGTTAAAAAAAGGCCTGCCACCATGGCCGAGCACATGGGCCATAGTAAGATAGCGGTTGAAGACAGCAGTAGTTCACCCTTCCAAAGGCATGAAGTGTGTATGTGTGGGGGGGGGGGAGGGTTGGCGGCCAAAAAAAATGCAATAATAATCATAATAAATAAAGAAGGCCTACGATATGTCCGGCTGGTCAGCAGCATATTTTGCATTAGTGCCTGCGAAAGATTTGTTGCATTAAAAAATGCAGTGTTTTCTTGGTTTTGGAGACAGAAAATGTGCATTTTGTGACATCTGTGCAACAATGGGTATTTGCACAGAAGACACATGCAGAAAAACTACACATGGTGCTACTGTGCTTTTAAAATTTTGAATAACTTCTATACAAGTTGCTTAAAGTTTTTACACTTGACAGAACTAGCCCATCTGCACTAATACAGGGCTGCACACACAGGGCTGCACCTAAATGGCTTGCACACAATAATACAGGGCTGCACATAACAATACAGGGTTGCTAATACAGGGCTGCACATTGACCAAGCCAGCAGAAACCTCTCAGAGTGGAAAAGAAAGCAGCTGCAGCTGGTACCACACCTACGGAGGCCTGGCCAGCTACCCTTTGGGGAAAATAGTTGTGCTGTCTGGCTGGCCAGTTCCTGTGTGCAAACAACGCCTCACCTGGAGGCACAGGCCAGGCTTGAGAAAGCCACCGGGGCCAACAGGCTGCTGCTGCTGTGCAATTCTGGGCAGCACGCCCGGACACCACCTGGCCCAGTAGCATGCCTCCCAATGGTAGGAGGGGAGCTGTAAGAGCTGAGTGTTACACTGCTAGCCGGGCATCTGCCTGACACCAGAAGCTGTCCAACTGAGTGGGCCACTCTGCACCTCCTGACACCATGAGGAGGGCAGCTGTGGAAATGAGGCCCTGTGCCTCCCATCACCAGGAGGAAGACGTCAAAAGTAAAATGAAGGCCCCCATGCAACAATGGACCCGACCGATTAGATGCCCACAAGGCACTCCTCTCTGCAGACACCTCCTCCCACACAACAAACTCTCCACTTACAGTCCTGTAAGGGTGAGTACAAGGGAGAAGAGCAGCTCGTCAGTGGGCTAGTGACCTCATCAACTTTTGCTGCTCCAGTGCTAGGAGCTGAGAGAGTAGGTGCCCACATGTTGCACCCCACCTCCAGAACTTAGACTTATTCATCAGGGTGGGCAAACAGCCCTCCCCGTCCAGCATGGGTGGAAGGGGAAACACAGTAATCCTGACACTCCTGCTGAATAGTACAATTTCTAACAAGATACAGATTGATGATGGTTTGAGGAGAAACAGGACTTGTGGCTCTTGAAAACAGTGCAGAGTGGTATGAGTAAATTAGAGAGTAATTTTCCCTTAATAATCAAGTACCAAAGTCAAAGAGTGACAAATAGATTAAACAACTTTATTTTTTTATTTTGATATCATAATCAGAAGTACTATATTCCAAAGTTTCACTCAAAAACAATACTCCCAATTGTTTACTGAATTAATTAATTAATTAATAGTTTGGCTAAAATCTGTGATTTACCTTGGCTAAGGAAGTACAGCCAAGCTCTTTGCTATGAACTTGTATTATCTGAAATTCATACTTTTTATCTGGGGATATTATTTCTTATCATGGCCAGCTTCTGCATAAAGCAGAAAGCTAAATATAGAAATCCATTGATTTTGTCTTTGGACATTTAAAGTATATATTCACTGATTATTTTATGTGGGATTTTTGTCTTTCATTATTGAACTGCAGTTTTAAATACTTGTATAGAAGTTTAAATGACCTTAGGTATATAATATATAATCTACAATATTATAATTATACATTTTATATTACATGTAATATTACTAATAATATTACAATATAATGGTGTACTACAATATAGTAATATATAATACTGATATTGTATTGTGCAAAAATTTAATATATTGTATGTATGTATGTATGTATGTGTGTGGGTGTGTGTCTGTCTGTCTGTCTGTCTGTTTATCTATCTATCTATCTATCTATCTATCTATCTATCTATCTATCTATCTTGTAAGCCGCTCTGAGTCCTCTTTGGAGTGAGAAGGGTGGCATATAAATGTCATAAATAAATAAGGTGAATCCAGAAATGCCAACAATAAGGCTATACGTTTAATGATATGGCATGACTTTAATCAAAGGACACATGCCAAAAAGTTCTGAAGCCTACATAAATGGAACCAATCAAAAACTCTTAAATATTTTTGCACAGCCATGCATGCATACAGATTTATCTATAAAAATGCAGTGAATGCTCATCCCAAGGCTGCACTGCAAAGAGGAAGCAATTCAACTCAGTACAGTGGCAGAGGTCCAGCTGACTTGACACTAGGGAAACCAAAGCTGTATTGAATCCAAATTCCTCTCAACCTGAAAATATTGGATATTAGAAATTTCCAGTCTCTGGGGTAAATCATAGTGGCTGTGCCCACAATCTGAGTAAGATTCGTACCTGGCATAACAAGTCTCCACTTTCATCTGTCACCTCATTTTGGTTTGTCATTCCTTCTTTGGTTTTTCTGCCAGCTGATTTCAGTCAGTAGAGTGGTTGTGCAGTCAGATCAATTGACAGAAGGGGATTATAGCAACCAAAGGGCAGTTCAGCTAGCAGATTAGATAAGTCAACCTAAGAGACTTCTGCCTATTTCTAACCCTTTAGAGCTGTTGCTCAATCTATCAGACTGGTTATGATTCTGCCTTTTGAACATGCACAAAAATCCTAGGGGATTCATGGGTGCATGGGGGGAATACATGATCTTTGCACATTTTAAAGGAAAATATGAAGCCATTACAGGTTTTTAATTTTCCTTTCTGTCAGCCCCCCTGCCTACAACTACAGCCTTCTCTCTGTCTCCCTCAAGTCTCACCTTGGAAAATAAGATCACAGTTAGAGAAGTGCTCCCTGATGAGTGAATATATCAAATAGATAACCTATTGCATGACAAGTAACAAATTGAACATATTTTCCCTGCAGATCATGGAGCGTTAACCCCCATAATTATCTGGCAAAAAAATAAAAATAAAAGTGAACTGCACAATTACACAATTATTAGCAGCCATAGAGAAACCTAGGCACACTGCTTTAAAACTTTATACAGCACTCTGCATTTTATTTTCTTCTAAATCATGGGACTTCTACTTCAATTAATGATTCCTAACCAGGGAACAAATGCACTTTTTATAGCTTGCTTTCATGTTCAGTCTTCATGAAGCTCCTCTTGCCATTTCTCTCCCCCCCCCCCCCAAATATAGAATTGGAGGGTTGGATTCAATGTGGACATAATATAGGAGCATCTTTTTGTCTCACACTGCTTAGTCTTGCATTTTAGCCTTCAAGAAGGGTACCACATAGTTAAATGTCCTGGAAGAAATACCTTTGATTCATTGAAAGCATGAAATCTTTGTGCACATGTTAGAAATTCCACTCCTCCCTGTTCAATATCTTCATGTGTCATGTATCCACTCTACCATCCATCATTGAGCCAGGAAGTCTCAAGGAGGATTTGAAGCAGATTTGACAGGCAGCTGACAAGGCATGGAATCTTCCACATGATTCTGAGGATATTAAGTGTGCTGAGCTAAATGTGCTAAAACATAAAAATGAGGACAAAGTCGCAGGTTCGGATCCAGGGAGAGCGTGGATGAGCTCCCTCTATCAGCTCCAGCTCCTCATGTGGGGACATGAGAGAAGCCTCCCAAAAAGATGAGAAAACATCAAAACATCCGGGCACCCCCTGGACAACGTCCTTGCAGATGGCCAATTCTCTCACACCAGAAGTGACTTGCAGTTTCCCAAGTCTCTCCTGACATGACAAAAAAAATCTGTCTCCCCAATAACCCTTTAAGGTAATGTTTCTCAAACTTTGATCTTCCAGGATGTTTTGGAATCCAACTCCCAGAAGCTCCAGCCAGCCTGGCCAACACTTAGGGATTTTGGGAGCTGACGTCCAAAACATCTAAAAGACTAAGGTTTGGAAACTGTTGCTCTAAGATAAATGAAGTTGAAAGATACTACTGGGCAAACGTGATCCAGTATAGCTGAGTGGGGATATGAACACAAGCTACTGAATTCCAACCAAACATTATAGGAAATATAGAAACATGGACATTGAAATTCATGACTCTATTCATTCCTTCTTGTTCAGTTAAGACTTCTCTGGAGTCTTAGTAGAACACAAGTTGAGTGTGAGCCAACAATGTGATGCAGCAACTTAAAAATGCCAATGGGATTTTGGGCTGCATCAAAAGGAGTATAGTGTTTTGATCAAGAGAAGTGATGGTTTTGCAGGTGGTCAGGTCTCACCTGCAATACTGTGTACTGAACACCACAGTGCAAAAACAATATTGACAGGCTGGAATGTGTCCAGTGGTGGCTGACTAAAATGATCAAAGATCTGGAAAACATGCCCTTTGAGGAGCAGCTTAAAGAGTTTGGTATGTTTAGCCTGCAGAAGATAAGATTGAGAGGAGATATGATAGCTATGTTTAAATATTTGAAAGAATGGCATAAGGAAGAGGGAGCTGGCTTGTTTTCTGTTGTCCTGGAGACTAGGAGAAAATTACAGGACAGGAGATTCCACCTGAACATTAGGAATAATGTCTTGATGATAAGAGCTATCAACCGTGTGGTGGAGGCTCCTTCTTTGGAGACTTTTAAATAGAGACTGTATGGCTGTCTGTTGGAGGTGCTTTGATTGTGCTTTTCCTGCCTTCATGACCCATGTCCCTTCCAACTATACGATTCTATGACATTATAAAAGGAAGCAAAACCAAATTTGGTGGCAAGGATGTGACCACAGCTTATAGAATCACAGAGTTGGAAGAAATTTCAAGAGCCATCCAATCCAACCCCTTTCATGCAGGAATACACAATCAAGCATTCCCAACAAAAGGCTATCTGGCCTCTATTTGAATCCTTCAGAGAAGGAGACTCCATCACAGTCCAAGGCAGCATATTCCACTGTCATAGTCCACTTAAAATCCGGAAGTTGTTTTTTCCCCCAAGGTTTAGGTGGAATCTCCTTTCCTGTCGTTTGAATCTGTTGTTCACGTCAGTCTCTGGAGCAGCATCAAAAAAGCTGGCTTCCTTTTCAATGTGATATCCTTTCAAACTTTCCTTGGGAAGGTAACACATCCCAGAGTCATAAATGAGCATGTCTACTGGAATTGTGAGTGACAGATGAGAAAAGTCTCTTCTCTAAATACTGAGGCTTGCATATACATTTAACTAGAGCTTGACACCAGACTTGCTGCAGTTGATGGATTTTTCACCTGCCTTATTGTTGTTTCTCTTAGTCTTGTTATTGCTGCTCCTGCTGCTAGCATTTCATGTAAGAAAGATGTGGCAGATGGCAGGAGGCATCCCACGGAGGGATTGTTCAGAGTACATGCATAGCATACCTAAGGCTGAATATCTGAGGAAGAGCTAAAGGCACCAGAGCTTGGCATGGGACATAGTCCTCAAATTCCCATTTTATCCATATCAAGAAATACCAACAGGGAAGACTAGGCTGACACCAGACAAAGACAAGAGGAAACAGAAAAACCAAGATGACTAACCTGTGCCCTCCATTTGGAGATTCTAGGCTCCAAATGGAGAGGGTTGTAACTGAATTGAGTCTTCTGAAAACTGAGGTCCATTTGGAAACTACGCAGATGCAAACCTTGTTAATAGAATTTCTGCTCCTTCAATCAATTCTAGTTTGGCAGGAAGAATCCTGACTAATCCTTTGTTTTCCTAGGTGCATCTACTTCGATCATATAATGCAGTTTAGAGACAGCTTGGCAGAGCAGTGTCTATATGATGCACACTGTAAATGTGCAGTGCAGCATTCTTAAAGGGTTTTACATTGTGATAACCAAAGTCAAAGAATACCCCGAAATAAAGCTCTTAATAAGTATCATTGTGCTTTGTTGTAAAGCACATTGCATGGAGAAAGTATTTAAGGGACAGTGCATTCTGGTGATCTGCATATGAGCATTACAGTGTGGGGAAAGTTGCAGAAAAACCTATATTCTTCATGGTTGTCAACCCACATATACTGCTGAACCTGGAACCAGTTTGAGACCAGATTTTTGGTGCCTATATGCACCATCCAGGCATCGAACGGGTTCTAGGACCTCCCATCTAATCTAATCTGCACACTGAAACCACTTACTTCTTTGCTATTTTCATAGTGTGGCCTGTGTAGTTGTGTCCCCAGTTTCTCTTCCCACTTTTCCTTTGTCTTCAGTTTTCTGAAAACTGAATTCATACTATAAAAGTAGCTTGTACTCCACTGACCCAGGTGGAAGAAGAGAGAAGGGTGTAGAGTTTTGACCTATGACTAGATGAAATGAATCCTAACTGAACAACCAAGACCAGAGCATACTTATACCATCATTATTTTATCATGTCGGGTTTCCTAATTCTTCAACTGGAAAAAATACAGCCACAGGTAAAGTAAATGTGTCCTGGTGAGGTCAATATCCACTCCATCCCTGCTATAGGAGTTGTGGTTGGAGGCACATTTGTGTTGGCCAGACTCCTGTGTGTCTTCTGTGGCTATGGGCCTGGGCCTGGACTAGGATGTTACAGCAAAATTTACAGTACTATTTAATGAAGCCATAAACATGTTCAGTTACTGTATTTACTTGAGTCTAATGCACCATCAAATCTAATGCACACCTCCATTTTCAAAACCTTGAAACAAAAAAAAGTATTTGCTGATAAATGTAATGTGCAGCAGCAAAAGGTGCACTCTTTGTAATGTGAACGCATTACAGTTGCTGGCTGCTTAGAATTTTTTTTTAAAAAAAAACTAAAGTGTTAGAGCACCAAAGCTTTCAGCAATTGAAAAGAAAACATTGCAGTGCATCTATGCTGTAGAATGAATCCACTTTAACTGCCCTGGCTAAATGCTATGGAGTCATGGGGTCTGTAGTTTTATAAGGCCTTCGATCTTCTCTGCCAAAGAGTGTGGATGCCTCAACAAACTATAAATCTCAGGATTATATAGCATTGAGCCATGATAATTAAATTACAGATGGCATCCCTCAAATAGGAGCGACAGGTGCTTCTGAAGCAGCTTCTTCTTTTGCTTTGGCTCAGCACTAAGATGACAATTTGATGTGAATCTAATGCCCACTCTAATTTTGGCAAGGTGATTTAGCCAAAAATTATATAATAATTATAATAATAATAATACTTTATTTATACCCCGCCACCATCTCCCCAAGGGATTCGGAGTGGCTTACATGAGGCCAAGCCCAACAGCACATCAAAAACAACCAGCAATAATAAAATAACAAGCAATAAACAAAATAAACAATACAATTAATATAACTCATAAGTAGACAATAACACACAAGAGTTTAAAAACCTATGGCTGGGCCAAATGTAATAGTTAAAACTTAAAAAATAAATGCTGGACATGAGCAGAGGATGTATCTATTTGGAGGGTTTTAAATCAAAAGTAAAGAGCAACCCAGTGGGTAATTAAAGTGCTTCTCAGAGTGTTTGCAGGGGATTGTTTCCTTTATTCAGGGAAGGCACACTGGAACAGCCACATTTTCAGGCTCCTCCTAAAGACTGCCAATGTGGGGGTTTGTTTGATGTCCTTGGGGAGTGAGTTCCAGAGCCAAGGGGCAACCACGGAGAAGGCCCTCTCCCTCGTCCCCACCAATCACGCCTGCAAGGGAGGTGGGAGCGAGAGCAGGGCCTCCCCAGATGAATGAAGAGATCGTGCGGGTTTGTACACAGAAATGCAGTCACACAGGTAGGCGGGTCCCAAACCGTTAAGGGTTTTTTGGTCAGAACCTGCACCTTGAATTGGGATCGGGAAATGAACGGCAGCCAATGGAGTTCCTTAAACAGGGGGGTTGACCGTTCCCTGTAAATCGCCCCAGTAAGTAACCTGGCTGTTGCCCGCTGGACCAATTGAAATTTCCGATCCGTCTTCAAGGGCAGCCCCACATAGAGTGCATTACAGTAATCCAATCTGGAGGTGACTAAGGCGTGGACCACCCTGGCCAGATCAGACTTCATGAGGTACGGTCGCAGCTGGCACACAAGTCTTAATTGTGCAAATTATATCCAAGTAAATACAACAATATCAGCACTTGGAAGGTAATACAAGAATGCAACCACTGGAGTTTTAATTTACTTAAATATCACTTTCAAAAAATATTCTTTCACTCCTTTAGGTTGTTCTGAACCTCTGGGCATGAAATCAGGACACATACAGGATTATCAGATTACTGCTTCAAGCATCTTCAGAACACTCAACATGGACATGTTTACGTGGGAACCTAGAAAAGCTCGACTAGACAAACAAGGCAAAGTGAACGCCTGGACATCGGGACACAGTGATCAGTCACAGTGGCTACAGGTGACAATTTTTCACTATCAATGAGATCTACTTTTCTAAAGAATGGGAGAACAAATATAGCTGTGCTAATATATAAAAATGTGTATTGTTGTTGTACTTGATGAAAAAGAAAACCGAAATGCTTGATATGTGGCATTGCAGCAATGATCTTATTTCTTGGAATTCTGTATGTTTAAAGAGGCATGTAAAACAGACCTGGAGAGGCTATTATATCCTGGTTGACTGCCTGAAATCTTCTCTATAAAAAATTATAGGACCAAGCCAGAAATGGTTGAAATATGGTTTTCTTGGAGGAAGGTACGCTTACCAAAGTGCTAGCTGAAAGACTTCTTTAGCATCTGGCTGGTGACTTGGATTTGTTGTACATGGACTGCATGAAGTAAAGCCAGGCACCATGGCAGCTTGAACACACCCAGTTCCTTCTAGTTGCACAAGGGTTAGTATCAAGGGGTCAGATGGCTCCTACAAAATATGCTTGAGCCTACTGTAAGAGGATTCCTTGAAGTGAAGTGAATAATATGTTATCCCAGATCTCAATTGCATAGCTTTATTGTGTGGTTGGTTTGCTACATCAGGTTAGTTCCATAGCAATGGAAGGAAAGTGTATGGTTTAATTGAATAGGTTTCGAAGCAAGTCTGCAAAATCAGATTTACTGAGGCAAATTAAGTTATTCAGATGGAAAATTTTCAAGTGGCCTGGCATTGTCATTGATTATTTGTCAAAGTGACTGAAAATCTAGTTTTGATTAATGAATTCTGAAAAGCTTTATTTGTCCCACCCCCAATGTGCATTTAGTGACCTGATTTTCTTCCTTTGGACTTTTTATATTCAATACAAACCTGTATTAGTCTACTCAAAATAATTCCCCGGATCTGCCTACCTTTAACAAGTTTAGCCTTTGTAAAATGGATTCAATGCTGTGAAGTCATTAAGAAGCCATTCACATTGCTTGTTTTCAATGTTAGGATGATTTACAGACGTTCCTGGGTAGGCTAATATGGAAAAAAGCAACAAATCACCAAACAGAAGACTATTTGACCAGTCACTGTTCAATTTACATATTAGAAGCATTGTATATTGCAGTGATTTGAATCTGCTGTCAGAGAGGAATGGGATTCTCAGCATGAAGTCTTAACTACGCAAGAAATGTCTACTAGCCCCCTGCAATGTTTTTACATATAAATTATGACTTATTAGCTTTTTTGGCATTTTTACCTGTGTTTGCTAAGCAATTTAGCCATATAAAAACTGTATTTGCTCTGAATCTGTAAGTGGGGGAAAGATATGGAGAAAAAAGGACAAGTGACTGCATTGTCTGTTTATTATTTCAATAATTAAATATGCCTAGAGATTTAGTTGAGGTTGTATCTTCACTGTCAAATTAATGCAGCTTGATATGATTTCCAAGACTCAATGCTAAGGAGTCTTGGAATTTGTTGTTTGGTGAGGCACTGGCAGAGAAGACAGAAGACCTTTATAAATACAACTTCCATTGCACAGCATTGAGCAATGGCATTAAATTGGTGTCAAACTGCACTAATTCTACAATGTAGATAAACCTGAAGTCATTGACTGACTACAATTATGGCCAAATACACCAAATGTGGAAAAGTTATCTGCCACATGGAACACACTGTCTCCTCAGCTATGACAGGAATACAAAGAAGTTAGAGGTGTTACTTTGTAAGCTACAAATCCCAGAATCCTTCAGAAAGCAAAACAAACAAAACAAATCATTTTCCAAGCTCTAACATTAAGCCATAGAACTGGAGAGGATCTCTAAGTTGCTGTTGAAATCACCATGGACTGCATGACAACTTAGTTTTGTAAAAATGCTGCTGTTTGTGGAAGCTAATTTCAAATGTGAAAAGGAGGGAAACAATCCAGGGAAAAAAATCTTCTGTAGACCTATCTTTTATGGCTTCTCCCTCTGAAAACCACATCCACTTAGGGCACTATGTGATATAGGAAAGGTAGGATCCTAGAATCTCTTCACATGTGTTTTTTTTTTTTTTTTGCTGAGCATTATCAGACAATGCTGGCTTGGCCCTGCCCACATTCCTCCCAAAGTGGAAAGGGCAACTGAGGTAACGTGTTGCCACCCTTTCGCCCATCTGATGAGGATAGGGTGCTAGGGCGCCTTGTCCCATCACCACCATAGGAAGGAGGGAAGGTACATGGGGTGCCACAAGCCACCCCATGCACTTTCCCTTTTGCTGGCAACTGCTGGTGAAACAAAATGGCATGAAGAGGCCCCAAATGGGTGAAAATTGATCATGTTTGACTTAAGACCAACCTGGATTTGGCATCCATTACATAATTGCCTTTGTTTGCTTCTTTTATTTTATTAAATAGCCACAAGAAGAGAACAGAGATCCCTGTTTTCAGAATTGAGATAAAATGGGCTATTTTCAAAGTAAATCTTTCCATATCTACCATGTCATAGTGGATTAATCATTGAGACCATATGATCTCTTTCAGGGATCAGGAATTACATTTTTTTATTTACAGTGCATGAGATGACACATGCTTCTTATGCCTTTTCCAATGATTTTGGGGGTGTTTATGTTCACCACTTATTTTGTGCTAAAATTATTTTTCTTTACATCTAGAAGTGTATGCTTAAAGACTTAAAATGTAAAAAAGATCAGAGCTGTTGTTTATCCCCCTACTTTACTTGGATAGGTTGCTTCAATATAGTGAGAAACTCTTTTTCATCAAGGTTCAAACCATTTTGAACATTTAATAAATCATTGACATAATCCTAATCTAGATCTGTGCCTTTCCACTGAGCAAAGAAAAGAAGTACTGACTAACCTATCATATAATCGATTAGTTTCTTTAAATATTTATTTAGTTATTGTATTTCTATTAAGGATAACATACCTATAAATGTTTTAAAAATGTATTAAATATCACAATCATTGAAACATGATTGAAGACTATAAAAACACTTAAATCTCCATTAAAGCACCACTTACAAACAGACTAGAATGCCATAATTAACATTCACAAATTAATGTCACACCTAGCTGGGTCCTATGTCCTCCTCTCTAACAACTGTATCTGAAATACAAGAACTGCAGAGTTCTTTTATTCCAGAAAGATTCTTGTTAAGTTGTTAGCATTCTAACAGCTTGGGCATTCACCTCTGCAAAACTTTATATCTTTCTCTCAAGACTCAGACCAGAATTGGTTTTTTTTTTTTTGGCTGAGATAAGAGACAACAACCATCCTTCCCTTGCTGGCAGTTTCCTTCATTTTTTAATATATATATATATATATATATATATATATATATATACACATGTATACATATATGAAATATGATGCTAAAAGAAAAAGACATTGACAGTATTTTGGTGTTGAAAGGCATACAGACACGCCTCATTTCTGTCTCTCTTACGGATCCAAAGAAGCAAAATTCACGCAGAGATGATACAGGGATTACTTTCTGGTGCATTATTCATCTGTGACAGTGGATCTGTAGTTTTGTGCAGATGGGCAGGGAATTAGGGAAGTGAGGAGAAGAGACAATGACAACCCTTATTATTTTCTCTATTTCTGTTGTGTTCCAGACATTTTTCCCCCTGTTGTACCTGATAGGGTATACAAATTGATTCATTTTGCATCCAGATGGCTACTGGCAGATTTTATGTCACTCTAAGAACAGCATTGCCTATTCTCCTATCCCTTTTCAAACCATTTGAAGAAACCATCACTGGACCCCACTAAATTCGACAACTTTCGGCCTGTTTCCAATCTCCCCTTTTTGGGCAAAGTCATGGAAAGCGTGGTGGCCTCACAACTCCAGGTATTCTTGAGAGACACGGATTATCTGGATCCGGCACAGTCTGGCTTCAGACCGGGACATGGTACCGAGACGGTCTTGGTCGCCTTAGTGGATGATCTGCGCCGGGAGCTAGACAGGGGGAGTGTGTCCCTGTTGGTGCTCCTGGACCTCTCAGCGGCCTTCGATACTGTCGACCACAGTATCCTTCTGGGGCGCCTTGCGGAAATGGGCCTTGGGGGCACTGCTCTGCAGTGGCTCCACTCATTCCTGGAGGGACGCACCCAGAAGGTGTTATTGGGGGACTCCTGTTCTGCCCCACAACCTTTGACTTGTGGGGTTCCACAGGGTTCCATACTGTCCCCCATGCTGTTTAATATCTACATGAAGCCGCTGGGTAAGATCATCCGGAGTTTCGGGGTGCGGTGTCATCTGTACGCAGATGATGTCCAACTCTGTCACTCCTTTCCACCTGCTACTAAGGAGGCTGTCGAGGTCCTGAACCGGTGCCTGGCCGCTGTGACGGTCTGGATGAGGGCGAACAAACTGAAACTAAATCCAGACAAGACAGAGGTACTCCTGGTCAGTCGCAAGGCCGAACGGGATATAGGGTTACAGCCTGTGCTGGATGGGGTCGCACTCCCCTTGAAGGCGCAGGTTCGCAGCTTGGGTGTGACCCTGGATTCATCGTTGAGCCTGGATCCCCAGGTTTCAGCGGTGACCAGGGGAGCATTTGCACAGCTTCGGCTCGTGCGCCAGCTGCGCCCGTATCTTGGGAAGTCTGACTTGGCCACGGTGGTACACGCTCTGGTCACATCCCGCCTTGACTACTGCAACGCTCTCTACGTGGGGCTGCCCTTGAAGACGGCCCGGACGCTTCAGCTGGTTCAGCGTGCGGCAGCCATGTTACTAACTGGAGCGGGATACAGGGAGCACACAACACCCTTGTTGTCCCAGCTCCACTGGCTGCCGATTTGCTACCGGGCCCAATTTAAGGTGCTGGTGTTGGCCTACAAAGCCCTAAACGGCTCCGGCCCAAAATACCTTTCAGACCGCATCTTGGCCTATGAGCCCACGAGGACCTTGAGATCGTCTGGGGAGGCCCTTCTCTCGATCCCGCCTGCCTCACAGGCACGCCTGGCGGGGACGAGAGAGAGGGCCTTCTCAGTGGTGGCCCCCCGGTTGTGGAACACTCTCCCTACAGACATC